ACATACAGTGTATTATTAGTTTCAGAGGTAGAGTTCAGTGATTCATTAGTTGCATGTAACACCCAGTGCTCCTTATAGCATGTGCCCTCCTTAATGTCCATCCCCCAGTTACTGTCTCCCCTCCCCCTCCTTTCCAGCAACCCTCAGTTTGTTTCCTGTGTTTAAAGTCTCTTATGGTTTGTCTCCCTCTCTGATTTTGTCTTATTTTATTTTTCCCCTCCCTTTTCCTATATGGTCCTCTGTTTTGTTTCTTAAATTCCGCATATGAGTGAAATCATGGTATTTGTCTTTCTCTGATTGACTTATTTCACTTAGCATAATATCCTCTAGTTCCATTCACGTTGTTGCAAATATTAAGATTTCATTTCTTTTTTGATGACTAGCATTCCACTGCCTGTGTGTGTGTATGTGTGTGTATATACCCCACATCTTCCTTATCCATTCATCTGTTGATGGACTCTGGGCTCTTTCCATAGTTTGGCTATTGTAGACATTGCTGCTATGAACATTGGGGGTACAAGTGCCCCTTCAGATCACTATGTTTGTATCCTTTGGGTAAATACCTAGTAGGGCAACTGCTGGGTTGTAAGATAGCTCTACAACTTTTTGAGGAACCTGCATACTGTTTTCCAGAGTAGCTGTACCAGCTTGCATTTCCACCGACAGTGTAAGAGAGTTCCTCTTCCTATACATGCTCACCAATATTTGTTGTTTTCTGACTTGTTAATTTTAGCCATTCTGACTGGTGTGAGGTGGTATCTCACTGTAGTTTTGAGTTGTATTTCCCTGATGTCGAGCGATGTTGAGCATTTTTTCATGTGTCTGTTGGCCATTTGTACATCTTAGTTGAAGAAATGTCTGTTCATGCCATCTGCCCATTTCTTGATTGGATTATTTGCTTTTTGAGTGTTGAGTTTGATAAGTCCTTTTTAGATTTTGGATACTAGCCCTCTATCTGATCTGTCATTGCAAATATCCTCTCCCATTCAGTGGGTTGTCTTTTGGTTTTGTTGACTGTTTCCTTCGTTGTGCAAAAGCTTTGATGAAGTCCCAATAGTTCATTTTTGCTTTTGTTTCCCTTGCCTTTGGAGATTGTCTAGCAATAAGTTGCTGCAACTGAGGTCGAAGAAGAAAACCTCTTTAAAAAAAAAAAAGATTTTATTTATTTATTTATTCACGAGAGAGGCAGAGACACAGGCAGAGGGAGAAGCAGGCTTCATGCAAGGAGTCCGATGTGGGACTAGATCCCAGGACTCCAGGATCAGGCCCCGGGCCAAAGGCAGGCACTAAACTGCTGAGCCACCCAGGGATCCCCAAGAGAACCTCTTTTTTTTTTTTAATTTTTATTTATTTATGATAGTCACAGAGAGAGAGAGAGAGGCAGAGACACAGGCAGAGGGAGAAGCAGGCTCCATGCACCGGGAGCCCGATGTGGGATTCGATCCCGGGTCTCCAGGATCGCGCCCTGGGCCAAAGACAGGCGCTAAACCGCTGCGCCACCCAGGGATCCCAAGAGAACCTCTTTTAAATGCTATTTATTGAAGAAACCAAGTCATTTGTCCTATAGAATTTGTCCTTATTCTGCATTTGACTGAGACCTTTAAGGTATCTTGAACATATTCACCCAGTCTCTGTGTTCTTGTAAACTGGTAGTTAGATCTAGTCTAGAGGCTTCATTAGATTAAAGCCCAGGGGTTTTTGCAGGAAGACTTCATGGTTGGTGGCATGTACTTCTTTTGCCTCCCTCTAGGGGGCACCTAATGTCTGGTTGTCCTACTTGAGTGATGTTAAAATTGATGAGACAGTTTGGGTGTTCTCAGCTTCATCATCCATTATAACCATTGATTTTTTTACCTGATGGCTCTGGGCAGTTTGTTTTGTAAAGCAAATGTTGAAAACAATCTATTATTCATTATGGGGGCAGGGGATAAGTGGGGGGAAATAATAGGAATCAAATTGCCAAAATCTTAACAGCAGTTAATTTAGGTCCTGAGAGTAGATGTACCACTTTCAGGGCACCTGGCTGGCTCAGTTGGAAAGGCATGCAACTCTTGATGTCAGGTTTGTGAGTCTGAGTTGTCCTTCCCTACCCCGTGCACAAGCTTGAAAGAGGGTGAGGTTGGGATACTGCAATTAAGGAGGCCACACAAAGGGACATTTACCTTAGAGAGTAACTACCTTTATCACACACTAAACCATGTAGATTTAGGAACCTGGACACTGTTTGGAATGACGCTGTTGTCAGTGTTAGACTGTGAGGTCTCTGATTTGTGTGCAGGCGGATTACACATTCTTTGTTTAGAAATGTTAGTACCTCTCAGTCCAGTCAGACTTTGGCCAAAGGCCATTCTGACTTTTAAGGGTAGTTAGTGGCTGAGCGCAGATTCCAACCTGAGCAGCCTGGCTCCAGAGTCCTTGCTCACCACCTCTATACCCTACTGCTTTGTCGGTAGAAGCACACTCAAGTTTTTTTCTTGTGCCGAAGAGGTTTATTAGAAAAATGTAAATGTAAATGTTTCTAGGATCATATTCCTTAAACCTGTCTTCATCTTCCTTGTCTTAAAAAAAAAAAAACAAAACATAGGAGTGCCTGCGTGGCTCAGTCAGTTAGGTGTCTGACTCTTGGTTTTGGATCAGGTCATGATTTCAGGGTCATGAGCTCAAGCCCCACATCCAGCTTGCGTTCAGCGAGGTATCGGCTTGAGATTCTCTCTCCGTCTCCTTCTGCCCCTCCCCGCTCATACTCTCTCTTAAATAAATAAATCTTTTTTTTTTTAAGATTTTATTTATTTATTCATGAGAGACACAGAGAGGGGCAGAGACATAGGCAGAGGGAGAAACAGGCTTCCTGCAGGGAGTCCAATGTGGGACTTGATCCCAGGATCCTGGGATCACACCCTGAGCCACAGGCAGACACTCAAACACTGAGCCACCCAGGCGTCCCTCAAATAAATAAATCTTTAAAAATAAATACATTTTGAAAAACCAAAGATAGTTTTAAAACAGTAAGATAGAAGGACAATGATTATGAAGTATTACAGACTGTAGTTTGGGATTTTAACAAATCAATATATGCTTATCTTAGAAATGTGTAAAGATAACTGACCACTAGTAAAACAAACAATGCATAACCTTCAAACCAATAAACAGATGAATCTGTTAAGGTTCTTAGTTGCAAACAACAGCAAACAACTCTGGCCAACTCTAGCAGAAAAAGAGTTTATTGAAAAGCTCTCGGCAGCTCAGAACATCAACAGGAAGGCCGGAAAACCTGGCAGAGAAACTGGGCAGAAACCAGGGGAGGCTGGTGGCAGAAGGCCCAGGAATAGTCCTGATGGGACACTGCCGTGAGCACTGTGGTCCTGGACACTTCTGCCCCTGCTGTCATGGGTCTTAGTATCACCTGCTCCGGACAGGAGTCTCATGTCGGATCATCCAGCTGCCTGAGTACAAGTCATGGGCCACACAGTGACGTAAGTGGTGGAAAGTGACTGGAAGCCTTTCAGCTTCTGTAGTGGGAGGCTGGGCTTGGTCTCCAGTGAGAGTCACACACTGAGGGATTTCTCCCCGCCACACACACACACACACACACACACCCTGCGAATGGAGTGCAAATGTCAGGGGGCCCCGGAAAGGCAACTCCTCTCTACATGGAAAACCTGGGAAAGAAAACTTGTAGATCCATTAGAAGGGAGCATGGAGAAGAGAGGAAGACTAAGCGTACAAGATGAGGTGACTACGTCAGAATAGGTGGCAAGTGCTGTGTCCTTTATGTTTTCTGAGTAGATACTTAACAGAAGGAAGGGTGGACAAATGCAGCTTTGTTTGTCGAGACTAATCTTGGGACTCGAAATTCGCAGAGAAAATAAACCTTTTTTCTGAGAAGGATGATTCCAGTATGTTCACCATGGCTCTCAGAGATACTAGCCAAGAAGGACGCGGGACGTAGGACCCATTCAGGAAGGAGGCGAGGATGGCTTGGGGGAAAGCAGAGCAGTCAGGAATAAGGAAGGCTGGATGAAGTCGAAAAAATGTATCATCGGGGCAGCAGAACAGGAAGGAGGCAGTCATGGTCAAGAGTTCACACTTCCTGAAGTGGAAAAATTCTTGGAACTCCTGGGAGTGAGGATGTAACCAAGGGGCCCAGCGCTGGGGTGGAGGAGAGGTCTCCAGGACTGCAGGAAGGATCAGGAGCTGAAACCAGGGCGGCAGTGGCACATCCTTGTGGCCTTCAATGCCACCCTAGAGAATGCCAAGACTAGAACAGATGGGAAGTGCAGAGAGCCCCCATTCTTGAACCCAGGAGGAAGAAGGATGCGGGTGACTGCAGCTGGGAGTAGAAGTGACTCGAGCCCCAGATGCACCAGACACTTAGGAAGAGTGGGGGACTCCTGGCTTGGGAGTAGCACTGGGTGCTCATGGGAATGCCGCCCCCACCCTGACGGGTGCTGCAGGGGACTCTGCTTCCCCATCCAGAAGAGGGGGATCCTGCTGGCTGGCCTTTCTGCCTCCAACCCTTTTTCTCCAGGGCTGAGCCCAGGGCTACCATTTCCATCTTCCATGGCAACTGGTGACCCATGGGACCTACCCACTAACATGCTGCGGAGGCACTTGAGAGACAGGCATCCACTCTACACTGAGGGGAGCCACACCTTCTGACAGCTCCTGTCCCCACTTTCCCAGTCAGCCCGGTGCTCCTGGGCACCCAGCTGGCCTCTCCTAGATGCACACTGACCCGAGCTCCTCAGGCCCGTAAGTCATCTCTGACAGTCTCTGGGAACAACTGCAGCCTGGAGTCGGGGATCTAGGTGCCCCCCCCCCACCGCCTCACCACCCCTGGGCTCCGGGGACCCACTGCAGGGGCCGCTTGCTGCACCGCTTCTTTTCACAAGTCCCCGTCTGAATTATGGTAAAACACACATAACATGAAACATCCTTGTAACCACGTAAGTGTATTATAGTTCAGCATGAAGTACGTTCACACTCTTGTGCAACCAGTCTCCAGAATTTTTTCATCTGGCAAAACAAACTCTATACCCATTGAACAACTCCCCATGTCTCTCTCCCACCAGCCCCAGCAAGGGTGGATTTTAACTATTTTAAATTGTTTTCATTTTTGCTTATTTGCATTTTCCAAGTTTTCTTCAAAGAGCATTTGCTATTTTTACAATTGAATTTGAACACTCCAGAACATTATGTGCAACCCTGTACAATCTCTGCACTTCACGGGCAGGGGACCCGGGTCCTGAGCTAGGAAGGGTCTGCAGGCAAGGGGGACCCAGACGACAGACCCGCTGCCTCCTCCACCCGGGGCACCCGCAGCACCCCACCAGGGGGACCAGCGGTCCTTTCACAGGAGTCTCCTCTCGGGAGGGGGACAGGGTTCACGGACTTGCAGCAGGTTAAGTTCCTGCCACTGAGTGGGTCCTGAGCACTGCCCCCCACCCCCGCATTTGGGATAGGGCTCTGTTTTCAGGACACAAGGGACTGGTCGCTGTCTCTCTTCTCACCTCACTGAGCCCCAAACAAAACTGTCCTCACAGGGTCACTCCTTGCCTTTGGTTGGCTCGTGTCTCTTGTCTCTGGAACCCTCTGGTCAGCCAGGCCCTGGGTTCTGCTCACCTCAGGGCCCCAAACCAGCTCACAGGGAGGCAAGGACAGAGCCGGGCAGGGGTCTCCGCTCACTTGCCAGACCTCAGTCGGTGTCAAGCAAAGAACATGCCCGGAGTGGCTTTCAGTGCAGGGGCTGGAGGAGACGCAGAGGTCAGGGACAGAGCAGGAGTCGTGGGGTGGTGAGAAGTAGAGGGTAATTTCTGCCTTTGTTGATCTAAGGTTTTCTGACAGTTTTGCTACAAGCACTGACTGATGCATATGCTCAGAAGACCGCAGGTAAAGTGCCAAAGTGTGACACCGTAGAATGTCAGGGCCTCTTTTATTTTTCAGACCAGGGACCAAGGCTTGCAAAGGTGATGCCACGCTGCAAGGTGGTAGCAGCAGGGCTGAGACTGGAACTAGGTCCCCCGGATCCCTGGCACCCCTGTGGCCCAGCCACTCCACCAGGTGGAGATCCAGAGCAGAATGTACTGACTGCGTGAGGGCCACGGAGGGGGTTGACAGGGGTCCCAAGTACAGGCCAAGGGCTGGAGAGGGCCAGAATGGGCCAGAACCTGCAGGATCTCAACGAGAAATGGGAAGGAAGGGTGGGGCCCCACAAAAACATTTCAGAAACTAGGGGTGGGGTGGGGGAGACCCCAGATGGAGGCTTGCTCTGCCACTTAACTAGCTGCCTTGGTTCTGGAGAAGAAGGACTTTACCTGCAGGCCCAGGGCTCTGGGGGGCAGAGAGCAGGCTTGTATCCCTTCCAAAAACTTGGATGGGGGCAGGAGTCACTGAGGTGCTGGTCAGAGTTTATAGGCCGAAGTGGGGATGGGACACAAAGGGGGACAGTTTGAGAAGACATCCCAGCGGAGGAGGGTGAGTACCCCTTCCAGAACCGCATGTGGCACTCTGGCCTCTCTTGCTGAAGCTGCTTCCAGGCTCCACTCAGAAGGGGTCAGTCTCCTGCAGCCCCTCTCGGCCACCATTCTCCAACAGAGGCTGGGCCCTGGTGCCCGGGGAGCCCAGGTCACACAGGGTGCTGCCCATCGTCACCCTGCTGAGGCTCGAGCTGTGGCGGGGCCTGTGGTAGCGGCACTGAGTCCCCAAGCACAGGGTTTCCTGGAAAGTCTCCCTGAAGCGGCTTGACATGACGTTGTAGAGCACGGGGTTAATGGCCGAGCTGAGGTAGAAGAAGACGCCGGAGATAACGTGCACGTACTGGAAGGCCAGGTGCAGGCCTTCGGTCCAGTGGGACACAAAGCTCCACATGAGGCGGTCAATGTGGAAGGGGGCCCAGCAGATTCCAAACACCACGACCAGCACAACTGTAGGGGCACAGAAGGGAGACTTGTGTGCCTGCCAGACTGCCTTCTCTGGGCTTCACGGTAGTCTGGTCATTCTCACCTTGCCACCCATGCCCACTGTCCATCTGGAAGGTTCTGGAAGTTTGCCCACCCTAGCCTCAGCACGCCCTTCAGGGAGGCTGGTCCCACCATTGTCACTGCCTGGGCAGTGGGCCCCTGCCCTACTCCCAGCCACAGTCAACTGGACCAGGTGTGGGCGCGTGAGCCAAGCTGGCCCAGTCTGGCTCTCCCATCACAAGAGTCTGGAACTAGGTGACTCTTAGCTAAGACGTCACCCAGCTTCCCAGAGCTCCCCTTCAGCTGTAGTGTCAACCAGCCACGCCTGTCATCGGGCTTGCCTTGATTTTTGTTTCTTATCTGTTGTGTTTGCTTCTCCAACTGCCTATCTTCCCCTGCCGTGCCTTCCCCACCACACCCCAGCACGGTTTTCCCTCATCATCTGGGATTTCCATCAGGATGTTGCTTACAACATCCCTAGCCCACATCCCCAGCCCATGACCCTCTGAAAGTGAAGCTGGGGGAAGGAGGGAGGGAGGGAAAGAGGGAGGGAGAGAAGGCCAGAGCCCCAGGCCAGCAAGCCAGGCACCATCCCTGAAGGAACCACCCCAGCTTCCCAGGGTGAGGGCCATCCCAGCTGAGCAGACTTGGTACCTGCAGGGCAAGGGAGTAGGAGGCAGAGGCAGAGGGGGCAGGGGGTCTGTAGGGCAGGCTTCACAGGGCAGAGCTGAAAGGCAAGCTTGGAACTCTGGGGTCAGTCCACTTTAGGGAGCTGCACAAGTGGCCTTGGCTTTGGGACACTGTTACTGGGGCACAAAAAGAATGGGTCTCTTTCTGGGAATAAGACAAGTCCCATGGCTTTGACCAAGGTCTCACTACCTCTGTCTTGCCCCGGCTCAGTCCATCTACCTGATTCAGGCCCTGCGAGGGTGAGTCAGGTTGAAGAGGAAATCGTGGATTGGCTTTGTGTCATTTTGTCTGGCTTCCTCGGAGCCTCTGATTTTGAAAAAGGGCCGGATCTAGAGCAGAGTAAGACCCAGAGCCTCCACCCAGCTGGCCTGCCCCCATCCACACCTCTTCTGCCCTGACTCTCCTGTGCTCTGCACACTGACCCTCACAAACAAATTATGTGGCCCATCCTGCCATTTATCTTTGATATGAGTCTCTCAGAGAGTAATCACACACGTGCGTGCACACACACAGGGCGGGGGGAGGGGGTAACTCCAGACCTCACACTCAGCCTCCATCGGAAACCCAGACCCTCAGCCCCCAAGTCCCAGAAGCTCTAGCCTCACCCCCCAGGGTCTGGCCCCGCCTCTCTCCCCGGTAGCAGCACTTACACAGCATCTTGGTCACCTGTGTCCGCCCCCGATCCTGCGAGCCCGGAAATCTGCAGCTGTCGCGCGACCCGGCCCTGCCCCTGGCCTCCTGCCTGAGCACCAGTAATCGCTCCCGCCGCAGCCGCAGCCCGATGAGCAGGTAGAGCACGCTGATGGTGGCCATGGGCAGGCAGAAGAAGAACAGGGTGGTGATCTGCACGACCAGGTTGTAGAGGGCCCGGGGGTGGACCAGGGTGCACACAGCCGAGTGGGGCACCGGGCCCCGGCAGGGCACTTCCAGCTGCTGGAGGCCGTGCAGGCTGGTGTTAGGCAGAGAACAAAGCACAGCGAGGCCCCAGATGGCTCCGAGGACACGGCGCACGTGCACCCGAGTCATCATGGACCTGGCCTGCAGCGGGTGCACCACAGCCACATAGCGCTCCACGCTCAGGGCCGTGACGTTGAGCACCGAGGCCAGGCACACGGTCTCGAAGAGCAGCGTGCGGAAGTAGCAGCCCCCGGCGCCCAGCAGGAAGGGGTAGTTGCGCCACATCTCATAGAGCTCCAGGGGCAGGCCCACGAGCAGCACCAGCAGGTCCGACACCGCCAGGCTGAAGAGGTAGTAGTTGGTGGGGGTGCGCATGGCCTTGTGGCGCAGGATGACCGCGCAGGTCAGCCCATTGCCCACGGCGCCCACCACGAAGATCAGCAGGTACGTGATGCAGATGGGCACGAACAGCTCAGTCTGCTGGGGCCCCAGGTACTTGATTCTCAGTTCCTCGTCGGTGAGGTTTAAGTCCTCGGGGTCAGAAAGCCCCAACGCCCGACTGCCATTGCAGGGCACCAGGCTCCCCGCGTCCCGTGGGGACGTGTCTCCGGGGAGGATGGAGCAATTGAAGCAGAGAGGAGCCTGTGGAACAGAACAGAGAGACGCCCCGAAAAGTCACTCCGAAATCCTTGGGGATCCAGGAGACCGAAGGGACCAGCGACACTAAGAGAAACATGATTTTTTTTTTTAAGATTTTATTTATTCATGAAAGAGAGGGAGAGGCAGAGACACAAGCAGGGGGAGAAGCAGGCTCCATGCAGGGACCCCGACGTGGGACTCGATCCCGGGTCTCCAGGATCATGTCCTGGGCCAAAGGCAGGCGCTAAACCGCTGAGCCACCCAGGGATCCCGAGAAACATGATTTCATGTCCTGCTAAGAAATATAAGAAACCACGACACCTGGGTGGCTCAGTGGTTGAGCATCTGCCTTCGGCTCAGGGAGTGATCCGGGGTCTGGGGATCGAGTCCCTCATCCGGCTCCCGGCAAGAAGCCTGCTTCTCCATGTCTCTGCCTCTGTGTGTCTTTCATGAATAAATAAAATCTTTAAAAAATGGGCAGCCCGGGTGGCTCAGCTGTTTAGCGCTGCTTTCGGTCTAGGGTGTGATCCTAGGGACCCGGAATCGGGTCCCATGTCAGGGTCCCTGCATGGAGCCTGCTTCTCCCTCTGCCTGTGTCTCTACCTCTCTCTCTTTCTGTGTCTCTTGTGAATAAATAAATAAAATCTTTTAAAAAAATCTTTAAAAATTTTTAAAAACCTCTCATCCCTTGTAAGGTAGATAATAATTTTGGAGATATGAAAATGTACATCTTAAAAATGATACAAAGCAGGGCTTCCACGATCCACTGAAGCCTTTGAATAAAGGATGGATCCTCTGGATCATGGGCTTTGCAGTCAGCAGTCTCCCCTTGGGTCTGTCCCCTTTCAAGCCCTGGACTTCAGGAGAGGGACTCAGTTTGGGCATCTGTAAAATGGGCACAACATGCAGTAACTCATCAGTATGGTTATTCAGACCAAGGGGTCTGGGGACACCTGGGTGGCTCAGTCGGTTAAGCATCTGCCTTCAGCTCAGGTCAGGATGCCAGGGTCCTAGGACAGAGTCCCACATCAGGCTCCCTGCTCAGCGGGGAGTCTTCTTTTCTCTTTTTATCTCTCCCCCTCCCCCTGCTGGTGTGTGTGCTCTCTCTCTCTCCCTCTCCTGTCTCAAATAAATAATAAAACCTTAAAAAAAAAAAAAAGAGGGATGCCTGGGTGGCTCAGTAGTTGAGCATCTGCCTTTGGCTCAGATCATGATGTTCTAGGATCAAGTCCCACATCGGGCTCCCTGAGGGGAGCCTGCTTCTCCCTCTGCCTGTGTCTCTGCCTCTCTCTGTGCATCTCTCATGAATAAATAAAATCTTAAAAAAAAAAAAAAAAAAGAACAAGAACAAGGGCTCTGGAAGCAACTGCCTGGATTCCAATCCAGCCTCCTCAGTTCTGGGCTGTGTGACCATTTGCATGGGAACCTCTCTGTTTCCTTATTGCAAGGATCCAGCAATTTAATCTACAAAAGGTACTAACGTGAGACCAGAGAAAGGCTGGTCATCAGTCACCTCACAGTGAGGACTGAGTCACTGTGGGGCTCAAGTGAAGGGGTAAAAGGGCTAAAAACCAGAATGCTAACCCAAAAGTCTTTCTTGTTTCTGTTTCCTATCACCTGCTCTGTTAAAAGTTGAAATATTTGACAACCTTGTCACTGCAACCTTGTTGCAGCTCTGCTACACTCTAGCTATCACATCTCTTCACTCTACCTCAGCCTACACATCTGTAAAATGGGGGTGTCCACAAAGCTTACCTCATGATTTCTGTGAAGATTAAATGAGAGAACACATATAAAGTTCTCAGGGTGTGCCTGGCACAATTCAGGTGTGCAATATCAATGCATAGTAACATTATCCTTACTTCCCACGTGGCAGGGAAGAGCAGTCCAAGGGAAGGGTGCTTAGCTGGCTCAGTCAGTAGAGCACCCAACTAACTCTTGGTCTTGGGGTTATGAGTTCAAGACCCATATTGAGTGTGAAGATTACTTAAAAATAAAATCTTAGGGGATCCCTCGGTGGCTCAGCGGTTTAGCACCTGCCTTCCGCCCAGGGCGTGATCCTGGAGTCCTGGGATTGAGTCCCACATCGGGCTCCCTGCATGGAGCCTGCTTCTCCTTCTGCCTGTGTCTTTGCCCGCCCCCCCCCCCCCGCCTTTCTCTCATGAATAAATAAATAAAATCTTCTTTTAAAAAAATAAAAGTAAAATCTTAAGGGAGCATTGGTGGCTCAGTCTTTAATCTACCTACTTTTGATTTTGGCTTTGGTCATAATCTCAGAGTCTTGAGATCAAGCCCAATTTCAGGCTCCTTGATCAGTGGGGAGTTTACTTAGTATTCTCTCTCTCTCTCTCTCAAATAAATAAATAAATATTAAAAAAAAAAAAAAACAGGGCACCTGGGTGGCTCAGTGGTGGAGCATCTGCCTCTGGCTTAGGTCCTGATCCCGGGGTCCTAGGATCGAGTCCTGAATCAGGCTCCCCAGAGGAAGCTTGCTTCTCCCTCTGCCTGTGTCTCTGCCTCTCTCTCTGTATCTCTCATGAATAAATAAATAAAATATTTTTTTAAATAAAAAGAAAATAACATAAAATCTTTAAAAACAAACAACAGTCCGAGGGAGATGGGGCAGGGACTGAAACAAGATTTGGCAGGGCAGGTGGTTTGGTGGGACAGGCCAGGATCTGGGGACCGTCCTCCTTAGCCCTCTGGCCAAGCCCACCCCCCACCACCACCCCCACCCCTGTCCTCGGAGCAACCGCGGGTTTTCAGGCTCCGTTCCTGGACCCGCTCACTGTTCCTTCAGCTCCACTGCCTCTTCTCAGTAGGGCCTTGGCGCCCGTGTGCCTGCGCAGCCACCCTTCAGCTTTCTTTCTGGGTCCTTTTCTCTCCCAGACCCCAAGAATTCTTAATCCTGAATATCTTTCTCCTCCCCAGCACCTCCACCCCGAAGTCTCCCCCAGCCTCCTTGCCGGTCCCACAGCTGATCCCCGCATTCTGGGCCTGGAGGGGCATTTTCACCCCCGACTCCCAGGCTGCGGGGCCGCGGGGACGAGGCGGGGATGAGCTGGGGATGCTCCAGGGACTCCTGCGCCCCGGGAAGGGTGGCAGCGCCCGCGTCCCGCAAAAAGCCAGAAGTAACCCGGCGGCTGCGAGGCCCCCGAGAGGTGGGGCGCCTGGACCGGCCCCCCGCCCCCCCCCGCGCCCCCGCCCCCGCCCCCGCCGGCCGCGGCGCCCGTGGCCCTACCATGCGCTCCGCCGAGGCCGACGACCAGACGCGGCGCCGGGAGCCGGCCGACTGGCGGACAGACGGCTGCCGGCCCCCAAGTAGCCCGCGCCCACGCCCCGCCCGCCGGTGGCCCCGCTGCCCCGAAAGGGACCGCCACCAGGGGGCGGGGCTCGCGCCGCAGCCGGGCCCCAGACGCCCATGGGCCCCACGCCCGCTCGAGAGAGCGCGCTCCTTTCCTGGCCGCTCTCCGGGACGCGACGCCCCGGGAGCCCCACTAGGGGATCCTCACAACAACCCATTTACACAGGAGAAGACTGAGCCCCAGAAAGATGGAGTGCGTGCGACACGTGTGGTGTGGCTCCCGCACCCAGCTCCCACCCGGGGCTCGGGGCTCGGGGCTCGGGGGGCTGACTTTCAGCCTACCTCCTTATTATGGGGCCTCTCCAGCCCCCGCCTCCTCCTGTCCCATATTTCAGACGCTCCTCAAAGTTCACGTGTCCCAAAGGGTCTCATCCCCCTCCTAGGCTTGGGACGTCTCCTCTCCCTCCCTCGGCCCCAAGTCCCAGGCCAGCAGTTCCCACCCCCTCCCATCGTCCTTCCCAGGACTGCTAGGGAAGCTCCACTCTCCCCCCAGTCTGTCCCCCAGGGCCCAGTCTTCCTCCTGAACCCCCAGAGACATTGTTCCTCTGCTGGAAAACCCTCCCAGGGACACCCCCCCCACACACACACACACACACACTTCCTTCTGAAAAAGAACACACCAAAGTCTAGCCTGGCTGGACCCTCATGCCCCACTTGCCTTCCTGGCTCCCCCTCACTATATTCTTCACCCCCAAATGCCCTCCCTCTCATCCATTCAAGTGTTCTTCCATCCGGTGCACCCCAGGGTAGGATGCTCTCCAGGGAAGGAGGGACTGTAGGGAAGAGTCTTGATTGCAGGGATCCCAGCCTCCTCCTGCTCCCCAAAACTCCACACAGTAAAGCCAAGCAGGGAACCCATTCCCTGCCCGGCCCCCTCCTCCAAACAGCTCCTTAGCTGGAAGTTAGTTACTTATCAGGAACTTTCTAGGGAGCCTAGACACATGGATCTTTTTTTTTTAATTTTTTTTATTTATTTATGATAGTCACACAGAGAGAGAGAGAGGCAGAGACACAGGCAGAGGGAGAAGCAGGGTCCATGCACCGGGAGCCCGACGTGGGATTCGATCCCGGGTCTCCAGGATCGCGCCCTGGGCCAAAGGCAGGCGCTAAACCGCTGCGCCACCCAGGGATCCCTAGACACATGGATCTTACAGACCAAAATGCTGGCTCCTGGGCCTCTTCCCAGAGTCTGATTCGATAAGTCTGGGCCAGGTCCAGCAACCCCCATTTTTAACAAATACCCTCCAGGGATCCCCAAGCCCCAGAAGCATACTTTGAGGAGCACTGGGAGGGGTTAGGTACAAAGCCTTAGCACCCAGGAAGGTGGCTGGTCAGCAGTGTGGATTGGAGGAGATCAGCCCCACCGTGCCTCAGTTCCGCTTCCTGTAGCATGTGTAACCATGAGTGCCTTGAGGTTGCCCAGCGAAGATTTAGCACCGGGCTGGCGTGCAGCCAGCACTCAATAAAGGCTACGTAATGACAACTGGAAGTGTGACTTTGTTCCCCCCAAATTTCCCTACAGCCTCCACCCCCACCCATGAGTCACTGTCTGGCCTTGGGGACTGGGAGTCCTACCCTCTCAGAGCCTCCACCGGGCCTGCCTTCCCAGGAACTCCACATGTAAACACAAGCCCAGGCACAGGGAGAGGTTGTGAGCAGTGCAGGGGCAGATGGTCCACATGTCCTTGGGGAAAAGGACTCTGGGACTTCCCTGAGAATGAAGCCTTCAACTCCAGATGAGTGAATCTTCAAGGTCTGGGCTGCTATCATAGCATACAGCAGAGGAACAATGAGGGGTAGGCGGCCCCCCTGAGAAAGAGTTCACCATGGGGTCACAGGCAGCATTTAGCAGAAGCATTGCTGACACCTACCCCCATCTGTGGGTCACACTCACATATACACGCACCACTACGCACACACTCGGAGCATCCTGAGACCCCTGGGGACCCCTTGGAGGTGCTGGGGGACCAGGAAAGAAGGGGGAAGAGAAGACCCATTTCTGCCTTAAAGAGGCAGAATGGCTCCACCAATCAGGAACTCTTACAGCTGGCTGCACCATTCACAGCATTAACAACAATCAGAGATGGTGGCAAGCTAAATAAAGGGTAGTGCCCCAAAAAGAGAGGCACCGTGGCTATCAAGGCTGTGGCTACCCCTGCACTATTCAGAGGGCCCTGGGTGCCCCAGGTTGAGCTCAAGACCACCATGGTGGCATGTCCCATCAGAACCCGAGGACATCCTGCTGCCTCTCTGCTCTATCCTGAGCAAGTATCTCCAGGACATAGTTACTGGGGATGCCTGCAGGGTGAAGCCTGTAACAAAGGCCTCCTAGGCTTCCTGGGTATATAATTCAGTCTCCTGAACCTGGCTGCTGCCCAGACCCGGGTGTTAAGGTCCCAACTCTCCACAACAGCACATCTGCCAAGGGAGGGCCTCTGGGGCCCACGGAGCCACTTGGGAGACCTCTCAGGTCCTGGGGTCTATGCAGGGCTCATGAGCCTGAAGTATGTGATTGGCCCCATAACCCTTCCTCACCTGCTGATTCCTGAGAGCCCCAGAAGGGCAGCTGCCCTGAGCCAGGTCTTCACCAGCACCACCTGAGCAGCTCCTGGAACATTCAGTGTTCACCTAGAAGCCCCCACCCCACCCTGTCACCCTGCTCAACTGCCTATAGAGACCAGACAAGGAGGATGAGATGAGTCTGGGGACATAGAGGCATTGGATGGGAGGGAGGAACTGCTCTGTAGCTTAGGCAATGGGGACAGCCCAGGACCCACCAGTAATCAGGTTCAGCAAACATGGAGAGCTGGGTACAGCAAACATCTGGAGGAGAGTTGCCATGCTGACCTAGGAACCTCCCCAAGTCAGGACTGCTCACCTGGCTCTGTTTGGCTGGACCCAGGCCAGGGCATGGCCAGGAGAGAGAAGAGAAAAGGCTTGAGCCCCTCCAGAGTACGGACTGCACCCCACCCAGTAAACTATGCAGCTTGTGTGTGTCCATCCACACTCCCCCAGCCCCCAAGCCTGGATCTGTTCATAGAGACCAGCACACTCCCAAGGAGAGGGCAAAGGAAGGCAAGGGAAAGTGAGGCCTGGATGAGAAATCTTGCTCATACTACCACAAGCTGGCTGTGTGGCCGTAGATGAGTCACTTTGCACTCCAAACCCCTGGTCTGTATTTTTTTTTTCAAACCCCAGGTCTGTAAAACAGCAAGAACAAACCTGTCACTCAGGATGCTGTGAGGATTAAGTGAGATAATGTGAGTTTAAAACACCTAGGGTTGACACACTCAAGAAATGGTACCTGTAACTATGCTCGGAATTCTCTGGAAGATACTAGAAAGCTGGCAGGAGTCAAGCCTGGGGTGGAAGCTGAAGGACAGAAGAGCTTTCTCAGCAGGGCTTGGAAGGGCAAGGTCCCCCAACAACCTGGGGCAGGAGAGCTGCGCCCCAGTTAGAAGAAGGAACACACAAACTTGTGGGGAGACTGGCCACAGTGCAGGAGACCCAGGCCCTGTAGCTGGACCTTGGGGACCAGCGGCCAAGGAGACCTCGGCCCCTCCAGCCCATGGAGAAAGCCACGTGGGACTAATAGTTGGCCCCTTGCTGAGAGCCATGCAGCCTTGTTCCAAACCACCCAGTCTCTCAGGCAGGGCTGGGTGCAGAGTCAGCCACCCCCTCCCCCCCACCCCCCCATGGCTTGCTGGTACCCCAGGCCCCAAACTCCACTTGTGGCCAAAGGGAGGACAGGCTGAGGTCACACATCGAGAGGGTCAGAAAATGCTTGGGTCTCTCTTGCCCTGAGTCTGTATCCCTCAGGGTGGGGCTTGATGTTACTGGTGCTCCTGGTATCTGTGGGTCCACGCGGCCTTCCCAGTTAACAAACACAGTCAGAGGCGTCAGAGAGGCCCCTCTTGGGATCTTGCCTTTTATGAATGCTCCCAGTTAGCTCAGAACCAAACCCCCCGTCCTCCTGCCAGTGACGGGTGTCAGAGGGCTTGGGGACTCATTGGTCCATAGCACTTTGCTGTGTTTGCCTTAGCGTTTTGGTCTTTCCTCTGAGTTTTTTTTTTTAAATATTTTTTTAATTTTTATTTATTTATGATAGAGAGAGAGAGAGAGAGGCAGAGACATAGGCAGAGGGAGAAGCAGGCTCCATGCACCTGGAGCCCGACGTGGGATTCGATCCCAGGTCTCCAGGATCGCGCCCTGGGCCAAAGGCAGGCGCCAAACCGCTGCGCCACCCAGGGATCCCTTCCTCTGAGTTTTTAATATCAGCATAATTTGAGAATCAGTTGCAGACCTAATGCCCCTTTACCACTAAATATTTCAGTTGTGGCTTAGGTGCAGCATTTCATTGAATATCGTTAATTCCACTTGCCATCTGCAGTTGTGTCAAGGGATGGGTGTAAAGGGAGCAGCTGGCCTGGAAGGAGTAATGTCTTCTCACTTAGCACATCTGATCACAGAAAGCAGACAACAACAAAAAAAAGAAAGAAAGAAAGAAAGAAAGAAAGAAAGAAAGAAAGAAAGAAAGAAAGAAAGAAAGAAAAGAAAAGAAAGCAGACAATGTTTAGTTGGTCTGATTGCTGTTTTACATCTTGTTGAGGTTATTGCTGTTCCCAAGGCAGACTGTTTCCACAGCCAACACATGCAAAAGCAGTAAGCATTCGAAGTGCTAGTAAACAGAGGCTCAGAGTTCCAAAGGAAATAACACCAAATGGCAGAAAATAAATGACGAAACGTGCAGGTAGTGCCCGAGCAGATGGAATGAATATCTTTTCATCAGGAGGTAAGTGGAAAATATTGGGCGTATCAACCAGCGACCATTAGACGTGCAGAAAGGGACAGAACATGGGGACGTGTGCTGGAGGGTTGGGCATCGGTGTGGGCACAGCTGGCCCAAAGTCAGGAGAAGGCAGGAGTCTGAGCGCTT